GTGTCGGTTTTTTCGTAGCCAGCTTCGACTTCGGTTTCCAACGCAAAATTGTTCTTGTGCAAGCCAAAAATGACGCGTTCCATGATGTAAAACCCTGGGGTCATGATGACAGCGTACGCAATCGTGACGTGCAGCTGCATGGCCAGCATGGCAAGGATGACCCCGCCACGGTTGGCCGTGAAGCCGTTCTTGGTCCCCGCCACAGCAAACAACAAGTTGCCGGGGATCTGGCACCCCACGGCGGACACACCCGTGATGGCCACAATCATGAAGAAGGTCGAGATGATGGCCAAGGTGACGTAGATGATGCGGGGCATGCGAGTGGGGTCCGAGTGGTCGCGCTGGAGAGCAGGGATGACGATACCGGCACCGTACGCCAGAGCCAAGTTACCAAACACACTGGCGACTTGCTTGAAAGTCGGGTGGGGCTTGGGAGTAGAAACGCCCTCGGTGTTGAGGTCGTGCATGCCGTCCACCAACAGGTAAAGAGCGATGGCATCGGCAAGAACTGTACCGAGGCACCCCGCGGCGGCCGCGCCAGCACCCTCCTTCAACGTCGGGATCAAGCACACCGGCAACAACGACAAGCCCATGATAATGATCCACGTGGTAGGTTCGTACGAGTCGGCGAACATGATGCTGCACATGATGCCGCCCAACACAAGGAAAGCAATCGGGACGAGGACGCACGTCATCATTTGGGTGACAGTCATCAGCCAGCGGCCAGTGCATCCCATGACGAACTCGCCCAAGTCGCCCATCGTGCGGACGCTCTTCGGAGCTTCCAGCATCACCTTGGACATGCACACGGTGGCGTATGTGTTGACCGCGGCCATGAAAACCAACGCGACCGTCGCCCAGAAGTACCCGGCGCGAGCGTAGTTGCCAGGCATGCCGAGCGTCCCGATGCCGTACACGCAGCAAAAGAGCGAGAAGCACATCTTCATGTCTTCGATGGTCAGGAACGGTTTGCTCATGACGGGACAACGGACTTGGACCTTGTCAACGCAAATTCGAAAGTGATGCGCGGTCTGTCTTGCTGCGCCGCGAAAAAGAAGCACGGGGGACGCACCGACAGCCGTGTCACAACGACGGGCCCCCGGGTTTTCGCGTGAATAACCAGGTTCAACATATGCGGGCCATCTGGCGAGTTTGCCCGGTCCGAACATATTGGGAAGACTATACAAACGCGACGTGCACGGCGGCATCGGGGCCCGAATCCCCCCGTGCACACCGCGTCAGGTGGCCTCCGTGTGTTTTGCTGGTTCGAAGCAGCGCCCGACGTAACGACACATGGCGGGGGGGGGTGTCTTGCCTGCCATGTCCTTCCTCCCCGCCGCCACTCGTCGTTCTCTTGATGCTGCGACTTGAAGCGTCGGTCGGTGGGCTAGAACCGGCACAACGCATCGAGCCACGTGGCATTCGACCCGCGCTGGGTACAACACGGTCGTGGTCCGTGCGGTACACGACGTGGGATTCAAAAAAAGGTGGAGGCGTTGAATACCCCTCCGCAAGCGATGATACCGTGGCGCGCCGTGGATATATTGTTGAAGCGACGTCCGCTAGAGAGAGGATGAACGGAGTCCCACGACGACCGGCTGGACCTTGTCCGCCACGTTTGACGGTACACCCGTCGCCATCGAATTGCGCCGCCATCCATTGCGTCCGCCTCCCATCCCGCCCATCCACCACCACCCACGGCGCCGGTGGTGTTGGTGGGTCAGAGTACTTGAAAAACGAACGCCGTCGCTGGACCAAATCACGCGAGAAAGCCGGCCGAGGTCGGGTAAAGATAAACTCGATACGACGTGGGCCTGTCGGTGTGCTCGCCAAGACGGTCGCGAGTGCACTCAGCTGCGGGGGACGAGGGGTGTGCATCCCGCCCACCCTGCAACGATTGCAAAGCACACACGAACCACGGTCGCCGCGACAACCCGCGTTCGCTTTCGCCCAAGTCGACCCAACATCCCGTTGTTGTTCGGTGGCGCGATGGTCGTCGCGTTGTCGTCGTTCCTGAGAATTCCGTTTTGTCACTTGGGAACGAATGGACGGCATGACAGCATGGGCGTTCGATCGCGATGAACGCAACGTGATGCGTTCACCGCAATCGTGACCGGCGACACGTGGCGCGGCCTCCATCGCGACACGACGTCCCCTGTCGCTGGAGAGGCACAATGCCACTCCACATGGAGCTCAGCACACGCCCCACCCCCTCATACGACGCGCCGTGCGGCCCAGTCCCGACCCTTGACGTCGTTCTCCCCGTGCGTTCAAACACGGTCATGGCGTCCGCTGACCCGAGCACGTCACGTCGTCAACAGCGAAAGCATCTGTCGCTACATCTGGAAAAGTGCCGTCGCCATATGCAGAGATTTCTGGTCGACCGCCGCGCATCCAGAGTGTACAGGCGGCACAGGCGTGCAGTGTCCTTAGCAACCGGCGGGGCTGCCAAGGCAGACACTCACCGTGTTATATAACGTCAACGACCGTGTTGTCCGCGCTGCTGTCGTGCGTATGGAGAGATTTTGTCAAGTTTGAAATGACGTGTCAGTGACGGCGGATGGAGAGTTGCTGTGTCGTACCAAGATCAAGTCGGACACGATCGTGTGGAGCGAGATGTACAAATGCGAACCGAGTGCCCTCCCACCCACCCACACACACCAACAACAACACGGCGCGCTTCCTTGCGGTATCAGGAACATGAACGCTCGCGTGAAGTACCGTGCTGTATACCGGCAGGCGATTTGTCCTGCCGACGTGGCTCGCTCGTCGTCGTCGCCCTGTCAATCTTTCTCCGTGCGCCATCCACGGTACACGTGTAGGGGATGGGCGGACCGCGCAGCCCTCGATCCCCTGGAAACTTTCCACGACACAGCCACACGACAGGTTGTGTTGAACGTACATGGCTTCCCATGGAACCCTCGCGCGCCGCCGACCTCCCGAACGAATGACGTAAATCACCTATTTGTCCATGTTGCGTGCCTCGAGAAACTGGCCACCTCAAGCAGCAGCAGCAGCAGTTGCAGCACGTTTTATGGCACTCGGACCACGGACGAAACGACGTTGATCGATACTATATCGTTAAAACGGCTTCAGACCGCATGAACTCTCGATGCCTCGGGACGTAGAGCGGAACCTTCCTTTCGCCATTGCGCGACAAAGCGATCCCAGACTAAACGGAATGTGATCGACGACAGGAACGATGTCGTCGAGGATCGGTCGCCGACACGTTGATTTTGTTTGTCGGTTGAACGTCGGAAGTGCGTCCTGGGTGATTTACTCGGCAACGGCACTGGAAGGGAATGGGACCGGTAGAAGCCCCACCAGCTGCGTGCAACGTCGCCTTCACCGCCTCCCGAGCCCCCATGTGCTTGCGGTGGCAGCCGTGGTGGACCCTGGTCGGAGAATTTACCATATATATCCCACGCTTCACTTTGGATCACCTTGCCGGACGATCTTGGTTGGAAATCAAGCAAATTCGTGCGACGTTGGCCGCGGCGTGAGTGGGGTAAACCCATAGACATGGCCAAGTTCTGTGCCTCACGGAAGGCCGCCGGTGCGGTCCTGCGCGCTATGGTGATCCCAAAGATTGTGGAAATGGGTGCATTCGCCATCACGTTGGCCGTTGTCGCCTCAAGCGCCAGATTTTGGTGCCATTGGTACTTCAACTATCCCCAGTTTTGACGGTTCAACCGCACTGGCTGCAAAGATATCCTTGCTGCCACTCGCTTGCCCGAGATGGATCGGCTGCCGTCAACCAACGCAGGTTTCCAGACACCGAGATTTGCTGGATCGAGAACAACGAATATGCTGTCGTCGTCGAAAACAATTTTGGAATTTGTTTTCTGAATTTTGTGAGTTGATCGGAACTGAGCTCTAATTGGTCAAAATATCGGAATTTCGACTCCAATCAATACCCACAATCACCACAGGTACGATTCCCAACAGTTGGAAACAATCGACGGATACCTTCACACGACATTTCTTCCCATGGAACAATGACTCAATTGATCATAGCGATCCTCTTCTCCGATGTAGACACAAACTGGTTTTTCACGGTGTCACTGGGCGATCTGTATTGTCTTGGTGTATGTATCCCACGTCTCTCCAGTTTTATTCCATTGTTTTTTAAGCGAGTTTTTTTCATATTTGACCAAACTAACAAGGGCACGACACAAACCAGAAAACGGTCGGATCACAAATACTACTAGTAGTATGCTACTAGTACATAAGTCGGTACTAGTACTTCGACGTATTTATTGCGCTGGCAGCATTTTGGTCAATATATATGATCACTTATGTGCTTGGACGTGGGTAACCTATTTGTCATCGATTGGTCAAAATAGCTATACAATTCATTCTGACTACACATGCACGCATATGTCACGGCCATGGTCGACGGTGGCATCTCACACGATCGCGCAGAGGTGCCGCCGAGAGGGGTTGGACTCTTGCTCGTTTTCGAAGGAATGGCACGAGTCCCAATGCACCCAAACACTCGCCATCGCCCGTCGTTCATTCCTCGCAAACGTGCAAAATTTGTTTTGGTAAAATAGTTCGAAAGGCAGTCTAGTCAAACCACCGGCCACGGGACTCGCTGTCCTCGACGGTTGCAAACAGTTTCTTCTTGTAACTGTCGACCATGTCTTCGAACGACTTTTCCTCCTTCTTCGCACGCGAGCCCTTGCGCTCCTTGCGCGAGACAAGGCCGGCAGCGGCTGGCGCCACCTTTTTCGCAGGGTTCTTCTTGTGCTTGGCGTTGTTGATGGCAGACTGCGGTTTGGCTTGGGGTGCCTGCGCAGTTTTGGGTTTCTTGGCCGCCGGCTCGACGCTGCAATTTGAAAACGTGACCATCGAGTCCTGCCGTTCCACGAAAGGAAGGAGCGATGCTTTCGTACCTCGTAGCCGCAGGTTCGTTCGCCCGGCGTGCCTTGGCTTCGCGCTGGCGCTTGCCACGACTCTTGCGTTCGACCTTTTCGATGACTTCGCCCTGGGCCTTGCGTAGCATCAGCTCTTCGTCCCGCCGTTTCTTGGCATCATTCATGCGTTTCTACGCGGCGGCATGCAGTCAACAACCACAAAAAAGGGATCATCCGTCGTCCCCAACCTCACGGAGCTTGAGTTTGCCGTGGTTTTCCAGCGCAAACTCAACGATCAGTCGCGTTTTGTCCTTGTCCGCCGTGCCGCGCGCGGGCTTCACGCCGCGGCCAGAGTACTCTGTGTAGGCCGGGTTGTTGTTGAGTTTGCGCAGCGCGGCCAACGCGTGCACGTGCTGACTGAACTCGACAAAGCCGTACCTAAATGACGAACCGCGATGACAGGTCCATCCGTCCAACGAAGCACGGATTCACTATTTTTGCATGTACCCTCGAGAGCGCGGGTCTTCGCCCGCCTTTAAATTCTCCGTGTCACGCACGATCTTGCACAGGATGATCTTGACGGGCAGGCCTTTCTTCAGTTGATACTCGGCCTTGACCTCGTTCATGTTGACCAGATGCTCCTGGAGTCCGGCAATGGCAGCTTCGCGGAACACCGTCTTGAGCGTCTTTTCGTCCACCCCCAGCGCCACATTGCGCACGGACAGTCGCGTCGGTGAGATGAAAAAGAGCGGATTCTTGAGTTTTTCCTTCTTCTCCTTGATCGCGCGTCGGCGTTTTTCAATGTCCATCTTGGGCAGCGCCAGCTCGGACTCGGCCGCCTGACACGAGGGGTCATCCGACGAGGTCGCGAACGGGTCGACATCACTCACCTTGTTCACGTTGATTGTGCCTTCGTACGCCAAGTACATATTGCGCTTGTCGACGGCCTTGCGCTTGGCGCTGTTTTCTTCAGTCAACCGGTCCGCGTCGTGCTTGGCAACGGCCCGAGTCACCGACAGCAGCCGGCCGTCGACGTAAATCCCATCGCCGTCCAGCATTGCACTGTTGAAGAGCCCGCCCGACACGTTGCTACATGACAAAGATGGGCATCTCCATTGGAACAACCCATCGACATTACTTGTCACGCTTCTTCTTGGCGGGTTGATCGACGGTGGGGACGGAGCCGCGGGCAATCGCAGCGTCAGCGTCGTCCTTGGACCGGAAACGCACAAACGCCACACCTATTGCAGATGAACCGGCATCCATCACCATGTCATTTTCCCACACGCAATCTTCGTCGCGTGGCTTACCCTTGGATAAGCCTGACCCTCGATCCATGACGACGCGGGCATATTCGACAGGGCCAAATTGAGTCTTGAACGCTTCCGCGAGCCCGTCTTCCGTTGTCTGAAAGGATAAGTTGCGAATGAAGACGGTGCGTTCGCGTTGGCTGTCCGTGTCGAGTTTGGGGCCAGTCGAGGCATTGGCATCGTCCTCTTCCTCTTCCTCTTTCGCGTCGAGCAGTGCGTCGATGTCGTCATCGTCGTCGTCGTCCATTTCGAGTGTGTTTTCATCTTGGTCGAGGTCGGGGGCCTCCCCACCCGCCTCGTCGTTGTCGCCTTCTTCGTCATCACTTTCTTCGGCGTCCTTTTCACCGGCTTCAGTGGCCGGAGCGGAGTCGGTTTGCGCGGCCTGCGCTTTGACGTATTCCGATTTCGCCACGGCGTAATCGACAACGATCTCACGCCCCTTCAGCTTGGTGCTGTTGAGTGTCTACAAACCAACGTGAACGACAAACTGCCAACTCAACCCGGGGGAAACGTTCGACGATCTGACACACCTCAATGGCGTGTTGGGCATCGACTTTGTTCTTGAACTGGACAAATCCAAAGCCACGACTTCGGCCGAGGACAACTGCACGGCCACATGAGGCTTAGAGAGCCGCGATGGACACGCGCGCGTACCTTTACCAGCGTCGGGGACCACCGACGCGTCGACGGGCATCCGAACGACGCGGACTTCGGCCAACGGACCATGCTTCCCAAACACCTTTTCCAAGTCGGCGTCTTTGACGTCGAATTGCAAGTTGCGTACAATCAAGCGGACGCCGTCTTTCTGAGCGAGTCCTGTCGTGGTGGATTCGAGCCTGCCGTCCGAAACAATTTGCATCACGTGTTTTGTCGCCAGGGAGATGCAAGTACCCGCGAGCAGTCATGGTAAAGCCCTTGAACACGTGCTGGTCGAGTTTTTCGAGGGCCTTGGTCTTGGTCGCGACGTTCGCCCACTCGACGTACGCCACGTGCTGCGTCTTGCCGTTTACGATGTCTTCCTTCCACTCGATATTGATGGCTTCTCCGATCTTCTTCATTCTACACACCAGAAGCGAGATCGTTGGTCCTGCATTCGCCAGTTGAAAGTATTTGCCGACTTGATTTTGAGCGCTTTTTCCGTAACCTCGGGCCCCAACCCGTAAATCGCCACCGACTTTTCCTCGACTGTGGCACTGGCTTCCTGGCGCTCCTTCATCTTGCGAAGCAGTTCGCGGTGCTCGCGTCGACGAGCGTTTCGCTCGCTCTGCACATGGCCCTCCGCCACTTGTGGCGCTTTTTCCAATTTGGCTGCATCGTCGTCGACTTGGACGTCCAACTTGCGCTTTTTGGAGGTCGGAGCGAGAGAGGCGTCGGTGTTTTCTCGTACATTTTCTTTTGCCGTCTTTGCTTCCTTTTTCTGCTTCTCCTTTTTAGCAGGCGCTTCTTCGACCTCTTCGATCGCGTCACCAGCTGCGTCCGTCGCGAGGGCATCGTCGGCTTCCCTCTTTTGTTTTTTGGCCTTTCGTTTTTCCTTCTTCGACGTCACTTCGGAGACCGACGATGTGTCGTGAACATGATCTTGAGCTACTTGGACATCGTCGGATTTTGACCTAGCCTTTTTCGCCTTCTTCTCCGACGTGGCATGCTCGTCGGCATCATCGGGTGCGGCTTCGATGTCGTTTGAGATGTCGTGAGTGGCGGAGACGTCCACGACCGGCGGCTTTTGGTGTGCCAGCGGCTTGGGTCCTTTCTTTTCTTTGGCTAGGTCTAGAAGCACCATGGTACGTTGGACACGAAACAATTCGGCAAACGTGTCGGTGCCACCTACCAATGCACAATTTTCGGCCGCCGTAATCTGAGTTGTTGAGCTTTTCCATCGCGAGCTTCGCGTCCGCTTCCATCGCACTACAGAACGCCGCCACAACGTGAGCTCGGCCATGCAACGCTGCTCAACACCGTACAATTTCACAAACGCAAACCCACGCGTGGTCATGTCTGTCTTGGCGCGGCCCTTGTCCTTGATGACAGACACCTTCTTCACAGGGCCAATGTCTCCGAAGAGCTCTTCGAGCTGCTGCTGGGTCGTTCCATACGCCAAGTTGCGCACGAAGATGGTCGATGTCATCGTCTATCGGGTGTTGTCGCGCTCGTTGAAGATCACACGCCAGTTATAGCCCTATCCGGAAACCCCGGATAAGCATGCAACACCAATTTTGACTGGTGCGCAGGGCTTGCATCTGATTGACTGAAATAACGGAAATGCGTCACGTTGATTGGCTTAGCCGGGGAAATTCGGCTGGGTCGGATGGCATAGTGAAAGCAGGTTTCTGTATTTCATCAACACAACTTGGGTAGCTGAGCAACAACCCAACATGGTAGTTGATTTGGCGCAGCTCTTGTGTAAGAGCTCCAAGACACCCCAGCCGACGCCAGATAGGAGGAAAGGGTTTAGAGGTGTGCGTGCGTACCAGGTTTGACAAGGGAATCGTCTCGCTCGTGTCCAACCGAATGAATTGAGCACCAGGAGAGATTCCAAACAATCAAACGAACGGACGGCAACAACGTGATTTGATAAATAACACTTGCGTCCACAAACTCGTCAGCAGCTCGAGAGCGCAAGATTGTCGGCCATCGTGACGTGGCACGAGGCGGGCACGCTACGTAATGCGGCAACACCGCGCTCGCCAATAAAGTTGTTGTTCAAATTGAGAGTGCTCAACGAGGCTGCGGCGGTCGTGGCCAAGTGTAACGCGCCGACATCAGTGATGCAGTTGCCAACCAGTACTAGGTGGCGCAATGAAGGTAACATCGGCACCAGCGCCGCCACAGTCGACGTGAATGGATCGTCGAGCCCGTCGCAAAAGACGTGCTGGAGTGCTAGTGCTTCCAGGCGGGGTAGCGGCAGCGCGGCTTGAATAGCCGTGAGAAGCCATTCGACCGACGTATTCGACCGTATGTCGATATGCTCCATGGCAATTTCTCCGAATCCGAACCGGTTGTCGCCGACCAGGGTCACCGACTCGACGTTGGGAAATTGAGCCATCCACGACATTGGTGTCATGCAAGGGAGATTGGATGCCGCTAGTCGTAGGGTAGTCACGCACTGAGGAATGAAATTTCGCGCGCGGTGGGTCGTGGACGACAAAGCAACGAGTGACGGTGTGTCGAGGAAAGACGTGACGAGACGAATCACACCGTCGTGTCCATCCAAGAGCATGTCGGAGTTCGTTGGGAGGCACCGGCGCTTGTTGCTTCGTGAAGTCGATTCCGGGAAGACTGGTGTCGGTCGTTTCAGCTTGGCCGCCACACCGCTTTGATGAGCGTACAGCTTGACAATGAGTACATGGAGACGCTTGGACAAAGTGCGTGGATTGCCGTATTCGTCACGCGTATGCGCTCGGGTGTACAGGGCAAGCTCAGCGCGGCGGGCGATGTTGGAGATACGCGCATCAACTTTACCATACTTTTGCTTGAGCACAAGCAATCTATTACGACATGTCAGGCTCTGGTGTGCGTATCATCGACGTACATTCGAAGCAGGACGGAGCGGCGCACCGCGGCGTCGTCTTCTGTGTGCCACTTGATGCCTTCCATGAACGCCGTGAGCCTAGCCTCGCCACCGCCATTGGCGGTGCACGAAGCAGTCAGAGACGGCGACATAGCGAGCACCATTCAAGTTGGTAACTGGTCCAGCAGAAGAGCTGCCGCAAGATCCGAGACCCGCCAGTATTCTACCAATCCGACCTGCACTTTCATTGGTCATTGACGATTCTGATTGGCTAGATTCGGTTAGTACGAAGGTGAGCCGGCAGCCAGCACCTGTCAAGACCTCCTTGTGAGCCACGGATTTCGTCGAAATAGTTTGGCAGCGGTGCCATGTAGCAGCACTAGGCAGGACAATTTGGTCCCGCCTAGATAAACGCCAAAAAATCGGCCTGTCCTGCAACAATTCGAGACAGGGCCGCAGTGGGAATCGACGCCAACACCGACATTTCTGCACAAATGAACAAGGGATGAGTTTCAGGATCGGTTTGAAATGTGGGACGTTGCAAACACTGATCCAGTACAGTTGACGCTCTCTATGCTCACACTTAGAGTAAAACAGACATAGCACGGGATGAATTTGCAAACTCCTCGACGCAACGAACGAAAATACCCGATAGATCGGCACACGCTAGAAAACAAGGTCACCGATGAATCAACATACTAGTACTAGACCTCGTTGACAAGCACTAAAGAAAACGAAAATATACGAAACAGACAAAACGAATCATCTTTTGTGTCGTTGTTGTTGGTGCCCTCATGACTGTACTGTTCGTGGCCTCCGCAAGGTCGTGTTGGCTGTCCGGTTAACAGTAGGTTCTACGCTTTGCCGG